TGCATAGCTGCCAACCTCTAGTTATAAAAATGCAGAAGATAGACAAAAAAAAAATGCAGAAGAAATGCCTAAAAATGCAGAAGATTCGCAACTGCATACTAATTACCAATTAATTTATGAAAGAAGTGGATTTTAATTATTTATTTATTTATAAATCCACTATAATATAAGCATAAAAAAGCAGTACTCACCTTTTTTTAAAACAAAAAAAGGAAATATTATTTTTATAAACTTTTGACCAGCTACTTGATGGTACAATATTAATTTCATAATTCTTGATAAACGGTTCTGCCTAAGGCTGTTACAAGAGGAGTCTGACTTAAAGAAAATACTAACTATCAGGTGGCCGGGTAAAATGCAGAATCTTCTGCGCGTAAATGTGGAAAAAATAGCTAAAATAAGTAAAAATGCAGAAAGCTTCAGCAAAATGCGGAAGGGTTGGCAGCTATGCACAAGCATTTTTACTTCATCAAACATGAATGGGTTGGGGTTTCGGGGTGGTCCCTTCCGAGTGATTCGTCTTTTTTTTTTTACACATCCCTTTCATATCTGAAACTCTTTATTTTGAAGATGCAAAAATATTTGAATTCTGAGATCATTGCATACTTTTGAAGAATGGAAAAATGTTGAGATCAGGAGAGGAAATTAGCTTGCGTTGGTTCCTGGGAATTCCCTACAACGGGACTTGACTGTAAATCATTCATTTTACCAAAAACAAATTTTGAGTACCTAACACACACATTGAATGCATGTAGTAACAAATAGAATTTGTTATTTGTGTAACTTCTATGTACATGTTCTATGCTTTCTTTGATTTTTTTTCAAAGAACACCATAATTTTTAAAAATTATGACAAAAACATTTTATATTTGAATCAAATATGACTATGAGTGGGGATTTTGTTACCAATTCAGATATTTGGAACACAGTGAAATTGAGGGTAAATTCCATTTTAAATATTAGATTTTTCGACGACCTAAATCCATGACAAAGTTGAAAAAAAATATATGAATAATACGTGTATAATTGAAGTATTTCATCAATGTAAGAACATTTTAAAGGCAGAAACGCAATTAAAATCTAATATATTAGAATAGATTAAAAATTACTTATTGGAAACATAAGCACCAAAAAGATTGTTAATTGAGCATTATTAATTTAAAAAGAAAACATTTAAAAAATCTTTTTTAACTCCTATTATAGAAACATCCTTCAAAGAAACTAACAAATATTAAAGCAATCCATATTCAACTAAAATTAATCCACAATTATTAAATTAGGTTAAATAGAATAAATAACTAAAGAATAATGTTTTTTATCAACAGAAGAGCAAAAATATAAATAAATAAAAACATATTTTTTAATCATGAGCTATAAAATAAGTTTCAATAAAACAAAGCTGTAAGAAGTAGAAAAATAAAAGTAGAACTTATTAACCAATAAAATGAAATAAACTTTTCTACAACTAAGTCATCCTAAAAAAATTAATTAAATTTAATAAAAATATTATACAAATAATCAGTATTTAATTAAAATTAAATCATATTTAATCAAATGACAAACTTTTTTAAGAGGAAAAGAGAAAAAACTATAAAAATGCAATATGTTAAGATTTTCGATTTAAAAAAAAATGAATGGTATAAATATGAATGAAAAAATAGATAAAAAAATATAAATTACGATAGTTACACCCTAAAATTAATAAAAAAATAATTAAAAAATTTATTTTAATGAATGAAAATTATCAAAACACAAAAAGAAACTAGCAAATATATGAAGAACATTGATGTTATTATTTTTTTTTAACTGAAATAATGCCAAATTATAATCAACGAAAGATTTGTTAAAATAACCAAATTAACTAATATAAAACAAAACTAATTATTAAACACCACAATATATTTCAAAATTAGTTATAAGAAAACAAAGAAAATGCTAAAAACTTATTAAAAAAATTTACAAAACAACAATTAAAATTTAACGATACTTAAAAGAAGCGTTGCCAGACATTTTAAAAGACCGCAGATAAGGCAGGACATAAAATCAGATTAAATTTAAAAAAAAAAAACGTTATTTTAAAACTTATAAATAACAAGAACTTAGAAGATTGAGTACAAAATTTAAAGGGAACGGAAAAAAAATTCAAAACTTAATCGAATTAGAAATGTATCACTTGAAAAAAAAGAGAAAGCTGCAACAATCTGCTTCATAAAACAATAGTTTGCTTTTAATCACAAATAATTGATTACGTTTAAACTGCTTTTATTTATAAAAACAGACGATTTTTAACGAAAGCAGGCGTGATTCCACATCAGGCAAAACTTGCAAATGATACCCCACCTCTGAGGAATCAGAATAATTCACTCAAAAATGTTTCTTTAATAGATATCAAATAAATAGGCATAGTAAGGGATAAAAAAAAAGTTTTGTCCTTAATAATTAATGCATGATGTGAAATTATTAAACAATAATTTCCCTTAATAAATCAAAGAGAACAAAAATAGAATTTAAAAAAAATAATAATTAACATGTCAAACACTCTCAAGACAGAAGTCTCTGCTCAAGTTCCTGACTTGGTCATCCAATTGACAACACTCCAAAAACATTTAAGAACGCTTTAATATTCTATTGCGCAAGTGCAAATTACACAATTGAAAATGTGAAAGTATGCGATAACAAACTTCAAAATTTTAGGTTATTAAGATGTTCCATTTCTTTTCTCTTTTCTTTTTTTTTGCACACGATTAATTCCAAGAATTTTTCATGACTTAACGAAGTTACTATTTTCTCCGACAAAAACACAACAATAATTTAAAAAAGCATTATAATAACATTCATTGAAATAATAGGTATAACCAAAAAACTGTTATTCTCTGCATCTTCCTATTTAAAGATTTTAAATTTAAAAGACAGAGTAAAGAAAGAGTTAAAGCAATAAAATAGCTGAAAAAAATACAAAAGCAAATAATTTTTTTTTCTGCAGAATTACATTCCAAAAATTCTTTTCTTGTTCATTGGAAAGGAAAGAAATACTCCTGATTTTTCTGTTCTCATATCGGAATAAAAAAAATTTGCCAATGACTAGCTTGCTTCAGCTAAAATTTTAAATTGATAAAATGAAGAAAAAAAATAATTCTGAAATCACAGAAGTTTAAAAGATAATTTGATCTAGAAATGTTTTTTCTTTCATTTCTTGAAAGAACACCATAATTTTTAAAGAGCACGATAAAAACATTTTATATTTTAATCAAATATGACTGTGAGTGGGGATTTTGCTACAAATTCAGATATTCGGAACACCATGAAATTGGGGGGACATTCCATTTTGAAAATAAGATTTTTCGACAGCCCAAATCCATGACTTTTCATGATTTTTTTTCAAAAAATAGTTAAAATCTTGACATTTCATGAAAAACTTTGTTCAATACTGAAATTCATGACTTTCCAGGTGTGCGGATACACTGCATATGATGTTTGTGCGAAGGGAAAAGTAGCAGAAGGGCATGCAACACACGAATGTATGGCGTGAGGTGGACTACCGTCTCTAGATGCTTTCTGTGTGACCGACAGAAGTCGCATAGAAAATCTGTGACACATGTATACAAAAGTTCCTTCTACATTCCGTGTACATTTTAACAATGAATTCTTTTTCATTAAATAGTTATTGCCGTTTGTAATCGCTCTATTCATTTTGAATCCACGAAAACGTTTTAAAAATTACACAGAATATTTTTTGCAGAGTTTTGAGGTTCTGCTTAGTTATTTTAGCCACAGGAAGCAAAATAAATATTACTACAAAAAACTGTTAACGAAGACACAAAATAGAAAACAAACCATATTTGACATCGGGTACAGTGATGGAACTCTCCGCAATATTTGTTGAGATAATTATCTGCCCAAAAAGAGAAAAGGGGAATTAAATTAAATGGACAGTTTTGAGAAAATGAATGAATACAAGGAAAAAAAAAAAAGATTAAACTAACCTTTCTATGATCTGCATGAGGAGGTTTGAAGACATTCTGTTGTTCCTCAACCGTAATGGAAGAGTGGAGGGGAATAATCCAAAAGCTAAATATTTGGAAAAAAAGTCTTATTAATTTACATAGAAGAATGTCATTGATTTTTATTGGGAAGCTGATATAAGTTCTATCATGCTCAAATAACAGGGTGCATAGTCAAATTTTATAACAAAAAATAAGCATCTTTTAAGTACTTTTTAAGCACTATATACATCAAAATGAAGTCAGAAGTGCAGAATAGCTTGCAAAAAGGCAGCAAAGTTGCACATGAGAGTGCAAGAATACATGCGGACTAAGTATTTCATCAAACATGTAATATGATTGGTGCTTTCATACGCTACGGACCAAAAGTAAGCCGAAATGCATTATGGTTCAATGAATTGTGAAAACTTAGAATAAAACAATGTGAAAACCACGCTTTTGCACGGTTGTATGTAGCAAAAATCAACATGGTAAAGAAAAAAAAAAATCTTATTTTCAAAAAGGGAAAATTAAGCCTTTTCTTGTTGTTGCTTCGTCAGTCCAGATCTATGAGGCGGAAGATGGCATTTAGGGCAGAAGTTTTAGTTCTCTCAGAAAATAGTAAACCTTTAAGATGGCCGGTAGCTAGGCGGGAGATGGTGGTGCAGACTCTCCTTTCAAAGGGAAGGGTCAAAGAAGCTCCAGGCTTAGTTCCCTTGTACCAATGGTGGGTGGGGGGAATCAACCAGTCTCTGAGAAGCTGGGATTTCTTCAGGGAGTAGAGTTCAAGATAGATAAGATCAGAAGAGGTAGGGTGCGGTTGGCTGCAACCCTCTTTAGCTAGGCTGTCCGCTAAATCATTACCATAGATACCGACCTTTAAGCCTTTTTTTAAAAACACCCAATGAAAAAAAGCACCTTTAAGGGCTTTTAAATTATGAAAATTGAAAATAAGCACCTTTAAACATTTTTTAAAAACGCTACACACCCTGAATAAGCTGTGATTGGTAAAAGCAAAAGTCAGTTGACACGAGTGCGGAACCATCGTTACCCATGGGAGGGAACACCAGGGGCCTCAAGCACCCAGGGGGCCCTTGACTTGCAGTTCATTTACGTTGCACCAGATCTGCACAATGGGCTTTTGGCTACGATCTGGGAAACATCCCTGAGGATGATCCGAAGACATGCCATCCCAATTTTGATCCTCTGCAGAGGGGATGGCACCCCCGCTTCAGTAGCCAGACGACCTGCTCACGAAGTCGAGCACTCTACGGTAGAACAGTTTAACGAGGACTGACACTGCACACCCTCGGTCCCTACGCAGACAGATCTAAGTGGTCACCCAACCGCACATTGACCGCAGCCAGTGATGCTTGACTTCGGTAATCTGTCGGGAACCGTGTCTTAATGATCAGACCACTGCTGGACAAGGACGCTTGACAATCTTTTCATAAATTGTATTAAAAGCAAAAATTAAGAATAAATAACATTGCATTGTATTCTTTTTAAAACAAATATATCCTCGTGCAAAGAGTGTGAGTTGTTTTACTTTTTTCTACAAATAGTGATCGATTATCATGAAAAGACCAATAATTTGAATAGTTTATCACCAGGAAAACTTAAAAAGTCAACTGAAATCAATTAAAAGTATTCCATGTTGAAATGAAGTTTTTAGGTACTCAACTCTCTAAATCATATTGTTTCTAAATAAGCTTGACCACCACCAACTCTGCTTAGTGTTTATAATTAGTTAAATAAAGTAATAATTTGAAAGAGTTTAGAATTACACATTGGACAGCAACTTTTAAATTGGTTACGTCTGATGTGCATTTAAAGATGCTTTAATAACTGGCTTTAATAGCTTGATGAAATAATTCATACCTTTTGAATTTTTTTTAAAATTTAATTATTTAGGTTCTTGCAAAACTATGGTTTTGAAAACTATTGAGGATTGCAACTGGTTAGCAGCTCAATTTTATGTGCATTGCTTTATTTTATGAACAAAAGCCGGAAATTGAGAACCTCTTGCAAAAAGCTGCACATGATAGTGCGAGAATAATTCCTACTGAATCCAGCTCAGTATATGCACATGCTGGCCCCACAAGAATTTCATCAGACACGTAAAATGATAGGAGCTTCAGTACCCTATGGAACGACGGTAAGCCGAAATGCATTGTGTTTGAATGATTTGTGAAAACGTTGAATCCACACTTTTGCATAATACAAGATCAGGGCTTCCACTGGATGAAAACAAGAAAAGTAGTTGCTATAGTTGCATCATATATGAAAAAAAGTCTCCTAAATAGTCTCCAAGATATATAAAATCATTGCTAACATCAAATCCTCCTCAAACATAATTTTAATTATTTGTGCTGTAGTATAAAATTCAAATAATATGCAGTTAGATACTCACATTTTCAAAAAATGTACATTTATTTGTGGATTTCCCAACAATATATAGATAGAAGAATGCCTAGGGAACTGCTGTAGAATTTTTAAACATTTTAAAAATATCTATTTTTAGTTTCACTCTTTATGAGGCATAAAGCTTCAGATATCATATAAGGAACAATAGTTGTAATTAAAGAAAAAACATTTGAAAAAAAAAAAAAGCTTGGGACAAAAATTTTAGGCATTATAAAAAAATGAAGTAGAAATGACAATTACTTTCATACATAAATTTTTTTTTAACCTTACTATAAAATAAAAATTTATGTGTAGCATATTCGTATAATAAACAAAATCTGCATTCTAAAAGTTCTTAAATAATTTTAAACAATAATATGAAAGGAAAATTATTATATAGGCACAATTATGATTGCAAAAGCACGCTTTTGTAAGTAGCGAAAATCGACATGGTAACGGAAAAAAAAATCTAATTTTTGAAAAGGGGAAATTAAACACTTTTAAAAAACACCCAATGAAAAAAAGCACCTTTAAGGGCTTTTAAATAACGAAAATCGAAAATAAGCACCTTTTAAAAACGGTACGCACCATGAAAATCTTTCTGCAAAAAGTCTAACGTTCTGCGACTATGTCGCTGTGATTCTGGCTCTAGATTATTAATATTATCTAGAGTTTAACTTGGGTATCAACAGTTTGATGAAACAATAATCGAAATCAGAAGTAAAAACGTGTGTAAGCTGTGCGGTTTTTTTTATCCTCCACTCCAGTCAAACATGAAATGGCAAGCAGACACAGATTCAAAAAGAATTCATGTTCTGTTCCTCACACCCCTTTCAAAATGAATGAATTGAAAAAAAGGTGCAGTTGCAATACTTGACCTTGAGTCTTTATTCCGTTTTTTTGGCTGTCACTATGCTTTTTAAAAGAGGAATAGCAGAAATGAGAGAATTTTAAAAAAATAAGAAAATACAAAATAACCGGGAGAAAAACTAGGAGGTCTGCGGTCCCTGCAAATTTCAATATTCCAAATCGAACTGAACATCAAAACAAACCGATCCGAAATTTTTAATTAACTGCTGGCCCATTATTCTTTCACACTACATAAAAGCAGGGAGTTTTATTTTTATCTGCTACAGAACAGTTGAATTTGAAACTTGAATTTCCTTTCTGGGTTCTAATTTGAAGCTACTTAGTTTAGACATAAAAATAAGAAAGAAATATTGCAATTTAATTCATTTCAATTTTATTTTGTTTATTTTTCATAACTGACACATTTCCAAATTTAATGCTTATCAAAAAAATTACGATCACAACTGGACAAAACGAATATCACCATGTATACCTTTTTTTTCTATTCTAAAAAAATTAACTACACATTTTGTGTAATTAAAGACAATTTTTTTAATTTTGCTACTTCGTTAGAAATAAAAGAAGGGGAAAAAACGTAACCCTCAGAGATATTACATGCTTCTGAAGCAGGAGCATTCACATAGTGCGAATTCAAATTCCATCAGTCTGATTGGTTAAACATGTCTGTCTCGCTTTTGACATCAAACAGTGAGGAAGAACAAAGTTAGGATAAAACGAAAGTGAGGCAAAAAAAGTGATGGAAGGGGAAACTCATGAAGCTATTCTTGATTTTAGCAGCTAATTGGCTTAAAAAAGTCGCCGATTTTATGCAACTCATTGCAAATTAGTTGTTTTTACTCATATTTCTACTAAAATAGTCGCCATAGTAGCTATTGCTTTAAAATAGTCGTTTTAGTCGCCTTTTTAGTCTCCAATGGCAGCCCTGCAAGATGAAAGATTTATACATAAATAAATAAAAAAACAATTAAACATGATTTATTAAGATATAGGATCCTACTGAGATAGAAAATTTAGGAAGAAAATTCATATTACTACAAATAAATTGTATCTTTGAAGCTCAGTCATTATTATGTCTTAAATCCACAAGGAAACATAGGGTTGCCACTGATATACGTAAAAAAAAAAATTCCCTGTGCATATTACACACAATATATAAAGAGGAAAAATACACTCTTGTGAACTATATTAGAAAGAATAAAAATGCTAGTTTTAGTTGCTGGAAAAACTTGGAGAAATAAGAATAAGGACAACATAAAACAAATAATGCTATAATAAATGAAATAATATAATATAGCTGAACTATCTTTAAATATCCCATAGATTGCACTTCGAGAGGTCTGCATTTTGTAAAGGAAGAAATGAAATTTCCATAGATTGCGCTTTGAGAGGTCTGCATTTTGTAAAATAAGAAATGAAATTTTCATAGATTGCGCTTTGAGAGGTCTGCATTATGTAAAATAAGAAATGAAATTTTCATAGATTGCACTTTGAGAGGTCTGCATTTTGTAAAATAAAAAATGAAATTTCCATAGATTGCACTTTGAGAGGTCTACATTTTGTAAAATAAGAAATGAAATTTCCATAGATTGCACTTTGAGAGGTCTGCATTTTGTAAAATAAGAAATCAAATTTCCTGTTTTTTCCCAGTTTGCAAGGAAAAATTCTAAATTCCCCTGTTATTTTGAGTAATTTTTGAAATTCCCAGTATTTTCCAGGTTTTCCCTGTGCAGTGGCAACCCTGTGGATGCAAAATGATGCTAAAAAAATTCATTTATGTTGTACAGTTAAATGAGACTTAAAGCTTCTTTTTTTTTAAAAAAAAATTTCAATTTTTTCAATAAATTATACTCTGTAGTAACTACTACAAGATTAGAAGGAAAAATATGAACATATAATAAAGGGAAAAAATAAAAGTTAAAACTACAGAAATTACTTTAACTGAAGATCCAAATTATCCTTCTGTAACACGTTACACAATCTGCTTATTTCTTCGTAGCCTATGGAGAGAGAAAAAAAAACAATGATATCAGTTCAGTTTTGTCAAATTATATTAAAACAAAATATTTGCTTAAAATTATAAATGAGTCTTAAATAATCAAACAAGATGTATAAGTTATACTTTCACTCAATTAAAAGAAAAATGCACACGCGTTTGTAACTAGTGAACAGACATGCCTATATTTTTAATTTTATAACCGTCGTTGAACAGCCAACCTTTTATGGGGGGTTTACGGCACCTAACAAACATATCTAAACTTTTCAAATAAAATTTAGAAAATACGAGTAGAGAAAATAGAGTAACATTCATTTTTGCCAAGAGTAAAAAAAATCTCCTAATAGTTGCCTATTCCTGAAAATAGTTGCTTTTTTTGCCTTTAAAGTTTGCTTTCTTTTATTAACGTTCTGAAAAGTTACGTTCATTTTTGTGAAAAAACTTCGCCAAGAGTAAAAAAGTTCTCCTTTTCCTGAAAATAGTTGCTTTTTTTAGCCTTTTCAGGCAAAAAAAAGTCGCCATAGTCCCCTAAGGTCGAAAATAGTAGCAAATAGTTGCATTTTAGAAGCCTGTGGCAACCCTGTAGTTTATTTAATTTAGCTTATGATTCTTATTAACTTGTTGTAACTGGTAAATGAAGGTAACACAGCGCAATGTTTTATTAACTTTTAGATTCCTTAATTATATTTTGTTTATTCCAAATCCAGATACAACAAAATCATGACAAATTTTGTTCACTACCGAAATTCATGACTTTCCAGGTGCCCTGTAAGCACCTTTAAGTACTTTGAAAAACATGTTTTTGTCTGTTGATCTTTTGGAGAAAAATAAGAAAAACTTACCCGGAAGAAAGACCAAAACAGCTCCTCTCTGCGGCGCATAAGTTTGGCTAAGCGGAACGCTAAAATAAAGTTAATTGCAATATTACCAGTAAATAATAATTGAAAAGCAATAAATTCTTTTAAAAATATATGTATTAAAGTTATTTGAATATCAATTCGTCGCACAGGGTGAATAAAAAAAGTTAAAAGAATCAATAAATCAGTATTGAGAAAACACTACCCAATTATGCTCTAAACCAAGAATGGGCAAACTACGACCTGCGGGCCAACTGTGGCCCGCCTTAAGGTTTTATCCGGCCCGCGGATAGAATTTGAACTTGCTGATCCGTGGCGAATCTAAACAATATACATCCATTTTCTTGTCTACTTTGTTTAAAGTTATTTTTCTTTCTTTTTTAGCTAAGTATTGCTGAACTTTTAACTTTCTCTATTTTTGTTCTACAAAACATCAATTGATGGAAATAGCCAGCACAGACAGCTTCAATTGGTAAAATGTTGAAAGCAGAAGTTCGTTAGAGAATAGCCACAGATTGGTGCCATCTGAAGCAGTTATTTCTGAATATACAAAAAATTGAGTTTTACAAATCATTACTGAAAGCTAGTTTCCCAAATATTTCATGGCTAGAAAATCAATGCCATGTTTGCTTCATTTTATTTATGTGAACAAATGTTTTCACCTAAGAAAAAATCATTTCAGAAGTAGAATAACAGGCAAACATTTACCCTTGTTCCTTAAAATAGGTACATCTCACTTGGAACCTCAATATAAGAAACTTTAAAAATGAAATCGCAATTTCATCATCTCAGTAAATATTTATATTAAAAATTGTATAGAGTATTTTTTTTCTTCTTAGATGCTTACTTAGCCCACCAAACTTTTTTTCTAACGATATTTTGCCCCCCGACCAAAAAAGTTTGCCCATCCCTGCTCTAAACTGAGAGGCATATAAAGACACAATTAAAGAGCTTGTTGAAAAAACCAGGTAAGTGACATTTTTAGAGGAATTAATGAATCAGAGAAGTGGTTACATCAATATGGGTATGTTTAATGTAACAGAACTGCTTTTGCCTTCACATTAATCTTAACATAACTAATCTACATTAGTTTTTAGCAGGCTTGCGTGATTTTTTTTAATTTCAAACTAGGCAGTGGTAAATAAAATAAAGCAAATAATTATTCGTCCCGTCTTTTTCTATAAATTGGTGATAAAATATTTCAGATACAGCTTTTTTTTTCGTTCTGAAAATGTCACTTGCCTGGTTCTTCCACTAAGTTTTTCAATTAATATAGCTAAAATGATTCAAATTTTTAAAAATTATTATTTGTTGCTTTCTCTGGTGGGTTTACGTTATTGAAGTTACTAAATACCAATTTCACACCTTAAATCTCTCACCCCTAACTGATCTGTGTAACAGACTTAAGTAATCAAGATTTATTAAACTACCAGCAAATCATACAAATACAAGCAAAGCCTAAATCTTACATAAAAATTTAAAAGTTCCCTAAAAAGAAAAATAATTAAATTTTTTATGAAATTCTGATTAGACCCAGACATAGGCCTCAGCAGGGCTCGAAAAAACTCAGAAATTTTACCCGTCCCCCAGGACCGCTTGCCCAACAATGTCCTCATTTGAAACTAACCCGTAGCTTCTAAATAAATAAAAATATAATTTTCTCTTATTTATTACAAACATTTATATAAATTGCACAATGAATTAGTAGTTACTAGGATTACAAATACTAGGATAACATTATACAGTAATAAAAGACTAGGTTACCTAGTATTCTTTTATAAATTATTTCTTAAAAGAAATACTAGGTAACCTAATATTTCTTTTATGAAATAATTTAAATAACAAAGGTCAAGTCATCTGGAATGTCAATTTATCCGAGGGTACTGAGTTTTTTAAATGAATCAAATATGACGTTTGCCAGTTCCACAATCAAGCCAATGATTTACAGAGATTTCTGCACAGAAATCTGAAAGGTGTCTTCCATTTAGGTAGATGTTCTTAATTGCGTTTAACGCTTCTTGTTTAAAACCAGTACGTAATGCATTTTTTTGTAAGTTCATTGCTGAAAAGCCCCTTTCAACCGCTACAATACTCCCAGTCAGAGAAATATAGATTCCGCCATGCGCAGCATGTTGCTGTATTTCTAGATTAGAGGGTCATTTTAGAAGTGAGGCGGTAGACTCTTGTAAGATAACAAAAACTGAAAATGTAATACGGGGAAAAAACATTAACGGGGAAAATGGCCGTCCGTACGATGGATTTTGACCGCGGGCGTTTTCAGAGCCCTAGGCCCCAGAAAAGATGAGAAAACAGGTTGCTGCGATTCAAATGGAAACAGAAATTGTAGGAAAAAACTTACTTTTGTTCAGCTTTTTCAATTTTATCAAAATAATACAACAACTGCAGCACTGTCTCATAAAGGCAGTTGTCAATCATTGGATTATTCATATCAAATTCTGGCACCTAATTAACATAAACCAAAAAAAATTAAAAACAAGAATAATAAAAATGTCTGCATCACACTGTGGGCCAGAAGACCATGATTTTTGGTCCAAAGTCAAAAATTAAATTTTCAACTAAAATATGTGTAGGCAGTTTTAATATTGCCCAAATTAAGTATTCATAATCATTCCAAACATTATAATTTACTCTTTGGACCGAAGAGAGGACAATGTGATGAAAAATATGTTAAAATTTTTTTTAAAATGTAACTTTTACATTTTTATTTCAGAAATATACATAGGAATTTCACCTTACTGTTACATTTTAATCAGAGTAATTAGTCTGAAATTATAGTACCATTTTTTAATGTGGTGGATTAGTTAATACTCTTGACAAACTTATAGTTTATATCTTATCATTTGACATTTTACAATGTTTTAATGACTCTCGAAATTTTGTTTCAAAAAGTTCCACGAGGTAATTAGCTAAACTTTTTTGTTGTTGTCCTCTTTAAAGTTTCTTCTTTCGAAATAACCTGCCCCATTTAGCGCGTATTGCAACGGTGGACTAAATATGCCAAAAAACAAAAACTATGTTTTTTTCTCATGTTTTCGCTTTATTTTGTAATTAATTCGCATTATTTTGACTTCGGAAATATAACTTGCATTTGATTTTTAATGTAAAATGACGAAAATTATTATATTTTTATTGCTGCATTTAATAATTTAAACGTACTACATATGTTTATATTTTTTTTGCTCGCCCTATTTCAGCCGCCATTTTGGTTTTTTTTGGGGTATTTTTAGTGTACTTCAAAATTTCAACTATTAATTCAATTTACCTGCACATAAAACCTCCCAAATTTTGAAACAAATTTTATCGAAATACTAATTTTGGCCACGAAACCTTGGATGCTGGCCCACTGTGCATCATATAGATAGGATGAGAAATACCTTTGCCAATGATTTGAGTGTTTTAAGCTCATATAGATAATACTCGTTCACTAATTTAGACTTTCCTATAATGTCTATAACAGGAGCCGGACCACTTTTCTCGTACATGCTGAAATACTTTGCAAAGGCAGAGGAATCAAAGGTGGCTGACATCAATATAACCTGTAAACACAAAGCATCCATTAAATATGTGATTCTCAACCCTTGCAGGGTGCGTAGAAACAAAAAAATAAGCACCTTGTAAGTACTTTTTAAGCACTCAAAAAATATTTTTTATGCACTACAGGGTTCCCACTCAATTTCAGAAAAACAATTCCCTGGCTTTTCCAGGTATATCAGGTAAATTTTAATGAAAATCCATACCATATTTTATCTATACTACAAAATCTTTCATCAGAAAAACTTTGATTCTTTTATTTGTTATGCCAAGTATTAGATTTTCTGTATAAAATAAATTTCATTATATGAGGAAGGAACAGGGTATCTGCTACATTTTAGATTTTCAAATTCATGACTTTCCATGACAAATTCCAAACATTTTTCACGACTTTACGAAGTTACTATTTTCTCTGACAAAAGCACAATAGTAAATTTAAAAAAGCATCATAATAACATTAATTAGAATTATAGGTGTAACCAAAACTGTTATACTCTGCATCTTCATATTTATAGATTTTTAATTTAAAAAACAGAGAAAGTAGCAAATAACAGAGAAAATAACTAAGAAACAGAGAATTTAATAATTTTGAAGCAATAAAATAGCTCAAAAGTAATTTTGTTTCTTTCGCAGAATTATATTCTAAAGATACTTTTCTTGTTCAAGGGAAAGGAAAGAAATACTTCTGATTTTCTGTTCTCATTTCGGAATAAAAATAATTCTGAAATCACTGGTTTGCTTCAGCTAGAATTTCAAATTGATAAAATAATAAAAATCCTGAAATCACAGAAGTTTAAAAGATAATTTGCTCTAGAAATGATGTCCCCCCCCCCATTTTTTGAAAGAACACAGCTCTTAAAGAACATGATAAAAACATTTTATATTTTAATAAAATATGACTACGAGTGGGGAGTTTGTTACAAATTCAGATATTCGGAACCCCAAGAAAATGAGGGAAGGGTAAATTCCAGTTTAATAATTAGATTTTTTGGCAACCTAAATTCATGACTTTTTTTAAAAAAATAGTTACGATCATGACAAATTTTGTTCAAAACCAAAATTCATGACTCTCCGCGATTTTTCATGACTTTCCAGGTGCGCGGATACTCTGAAGGAAGTTTGTCTAAAATGTGAAATTTTTACAATAAATAACTGTAATAGAGGTTAGAATTATTTAACTCGAATCTCAATAACTGAGTACTGTTACTGACAATTTTAAGACTGGCTATTTTCCAGGTATAATATAGGAATTTTTCAGGTTTTTGTAAAAAAAATTGCAACTATTCCCTGATTTTTGGAGTTGAAATAAAATTCCCTCACAATTCCAGGTTTTCCCTGTTCTCCCTGACCCATGGGAACCTTGCACT